GTGAGACTCCAACTCAAAAAAAAAAAAAGTTAAAAGAAAAAAAGATTAACTGAACCCCAAGGAAGCCTCTCCCGACAGTGCTAGCCAGTACACGAATGCCGACGGGGTTCTAGAACGCCCATCACCTAGCAGGAGAGGCCTGGACCACAAGGGCCCGCCTTCCAAAAAGATAATTGCGGCATTTTGGGGGCTAGGGGGATCTCCCTCGTACTGTAAACTCCAAAAGCTCAAAAGAAGAAGCCAACATGTTGCTGCAGGACTCACCACTGGCCACACCTGTGTGTGCAAACTCAAGAAGAAATAGAGTTGGCCCAGACACAGGTCTTCCTGCCAGAACTGGAGGATGAGGAAGTGACAGAAAAATTCAAGGCGTCGCCTGACTGGGCTGGAGGAAAAGGCGAATTTCCTTAGGAGAAGACGTGGAGCCTCAGAGATCCAGGGGAGGCCGACAGGGACCGGAGGAAGGGGATTCTACCATCCCAGCCTCCTTTCTTGCCCCTTGATAGGGGAGGTGACTTGAGATGAGGAATCTAACAAGGGCGACGAGGAGACCTCCAGAGTCTACATGAGCAAGTGGCCGTCAAGAGTGTTAGTTCTGCCGGGCTCAGTGACTCATGCCTGTAATTCCAGTGCTTTGGGAGGCAGAGGCCGGAGGAGTGCCTGAGTCCTGGCGTTCAAGACCAGCCCGGGCAACTTGGCAAGACCTCGTCTCTACAATAAATCAAAAAATTAGCTGGGCATGGTGGCACACGCCTGTAGTTCCAGCTACTTGGAAGGCTGAGGTGGAAGGATTGCCAGAGCCCAGCAGGTCGACACTGGGGTGGCCATGAGCCTGCCACTGCACTCCAGCCTGGGTGACAGAGTGAGACTCCTATCTAAAAGAAAAAGAAAAAGAAAAAAGAGTATTCGTTCTGTAATACAATTTTAGTTCTCTGATGCTAGTCAGATGGAAGCCTGATCTGTGAGATGCTTCTGAAAACCTCATTAAGGACAAACTGTCAACAGTGTTAAAAACCTAAAAGTTTTCACTCTGAAGCTGACAATTAATCAGCTACCCACTGGGTGGCAAAATGCCCAGCAGGTGGACGGGAAACCCCTGATTATCTTTTTTCTTTTTCTTTTTTTTTTTTGAGTTGGAGTCTCACTCTGTCGCCCAGACTGGAGTGCAGTGGCCGCTCCCATCCACCGCAGCCTCGCCTGCTGGGCTCCGGCGATCCTTCCGCCTCAGCCTTCCGAATAGCCGGAATTACAGGCGCGCACTACCATACCCGGCTGATTTTTTGATTTATCGTAGAGATGAGGTCTCGCTGCCCAGGCGGGTCTCGAACCCGCGGGCTCAGGCAATCCACTCACCTCAGCCTCCCAAAGGTGTGGGATTACAGGCTAAGCCACCCGGCTATAATTTTAATTTCTTAACGTAAGTTTTAGTTTTCAAAACCAAATATTGATAAATTAAATATGATATGACTTAAAAGATTGTTGC